GCACCTGCTGGCAGGGTGTGTGGGGAGTCCTGCTTACAACAGACTGAAAGAATCTCATGATAGCATGAGAACTTCACGTTTCTGAAGTGCTGGGGTCTGCACAACAGGCCCAAGCCAGACCTGACTTACAGATGAATTCTATACTGCCTCTGCTAGTTATGTAAAAATAGATGAACCTTGTACAAAGACTCACCAAACCACTTATGCTAACTGTTTTAATGCCAAACCGGATGTTTTAGAAATTTTTGCATGCTTTTATGTAATTGTCTGCAAAATATTTTAGGGAACCCTCCCAGCCGCGGCCTGGACTCTGGCCAAGCCCTGGTCCCAGGTGGTCGGGAAGGCTGCCAGCAGATTGCCGCCCAAAAAGATATGCAAGTCATTCTGGCTTGCTGATTTGGCTCTGTAAAAGCTGGATCCTCTTGACCTGACTTTGGAGACCTCACATATGGGTGGACGCACCGCATAAGACCTCCCAGTTGCCAGGAAGGTTCTCCAAATTGTCGCCGCAACAGGGGCTCCCCAGTGACTGCAGATCTGGATGATGGTAACGTGTTTAGGCAAATGGTGATGTATCTTTTTCTTAATCACTGTTCTCTTTCTCATATAGTAATGGTTAGGTGCATTACCTTGCTTATTTTGTTTGTTGCTAAAATCGAGCGCATAGTAAGCTTATTGTTTTGTTAAATGTATCATTTCATTTCTGTATTATTTAATATTGATAGTAAATACAGCATTCTTTCCATTGGCATCTGGTTCTTTCTGTCGCCCCCGTCAGTTGGCAATACAGCTTCGCAGCCCAGCTCTGAGCCCTCGTGTTCTGTAGCTCATTCTCGTTGTGCCAGGGGGCTGTGTGCAGGGCAAGAGGCACTGTGTTCAGCCCAGGCTGAAGTGCAGAGATGCGGTAGCCAGAGCTTGGCTTAAACTCGCTGCTGAAACACGAGCAGCTGCCTCGCTGTGCACCGGTGTGGCATCAGCATCAGAATGATTTCAGATCCAGGATTCTGTAAGGTGTTTGTACAAAACCGTGGTGCCAGGGACTAAGGAAGTCCCAAACTAAGAACTACAGCCACAAGAAGGGGTCCTGCCTGACAAGGCACTGAGTCATACCTGACTCCAGGAGTGTCAGGTGCTCACTGATGCAGCACCTATTTTCTTAGACATCTCCAACCTAAATCCCACTGTCCTTCCTTGCTCAGCACACCTGAGGAGGCCATGGCCCAAAGTAGCTCGGCAGAGGAAAGAAGCCATTGAGGACATTAGGAGGTAATTAATTCAGATAATTTCCTTTGTGAGATTTTCCAGAAAAGTGAGAAAGAGATACTCAAATGCTCAGTGTGGGGATGGTTGCGCTGTTCACTGCTGCAGCACATCAGTGTGCTGGAGCTGTGCAGGGAGAGAGCTCCCAGCCAGCCCGTCCACCCCACGCTGGCTGCATTGGTTCTCCCAGGCCTCCCCCAGGACTTTTATCTGTCCTCTCCAAAACATCTGTTCTTTCCATCAGATCAGCCTCATCCCTAGATCCTGCAAGGCGTGCAGTGCCCAGCCAGGCCGCAGATGACAGGTTGCTGATGAAAAGGTGCAGGGCTCATTCGACTGCKAATGCACGGAGGAGGGCAGTGAGAGGAGTGAGGCGCCCAAGGGCAGCAGGAGCTGGCRCCCAAGGGTAGTAGGAGCAGACACTGAAGGGGAACGGGAGCAGTTACCCAAGGGCAGTGGGAGCAGGCGCCCACGGGCAGCGGGAGCAGGCAGTTGTGTGGTGCTGGCGGTACTGGGCGCGTTGGGTCAGTGGGTGAAGACGCTGCCGCCTGCATGTGTGGGCGGTCAGACTGCGCGTGGTCCGCACCACCATAACAGCAATCCTCGCGCTTGGGCTCAGCACACAGCACTGCTTCCTCAGCTCTGTGGAGCCTCAGGACGGAGCACAGTGACTGGAGCAGCTGTGGGGAGAGGGTGAGGAATGGGCGAGGAATGGGCCGGGGTGGGAGAGGTGCTGCCTCATGCCCATTAATTTTTCAGGGTGGGGTGGAAAAATGCAAGAAGCAGAGAGTGCTGGTTTGGAATAAAACAGTCATATTGAATAAATCCCAACATTTTTTTGCAGCTAAATACATTAATTGGATCAGACAAATACAGATCAAGGCAACTTCTTTCCATCAAATCAGCTTGCGGAGGACACTGCCATCTATAAATAACCCGAGCGTGTTGGCCCTAGGTAACATGGCTGGTTGGATGAAGGGAGGTGGTTGGATCAACTCAAACAGCTTTGCCAGACCCGCTCGCTCCATGGGGTCTCCTCATAAGGCTCTGCCGTGCCATGATACCGAGGTCACGTCCAGGCAGCCCCGTGCTCCAAATGGGCAGGGTCGTCCCCGCCACTCCAAGGCCTCACACTGGGAGAGAGGAACAGAGATGTTGAGGAGTTAAGACAGCCCCACAGGCAGCTGCAGGGCAGGCTAGCAGTTGTGTGCGCTGGAAAGGAGAGTGTGTGGGAAAAAGCCCTTCCGGAAGGGCATAGGGGAGGGAGTGGAGCAGGAGAGCTCCATCCTTCCAGCACTGGCGGCTGCTGGCTGGGGACCCGGGGAGCACAGGCAGGGAAGTTGAGTTGTTCACAGCGCTGCAGCCATGGACGAAAGAATGGGGCTTATCCCATGGTTCTTTGTAGGCGTAGGGCTGCACCACGGAGCGGCCGGGTCTGCCTGCACTGCACAGAGCCCTCCTCTGGAGAGGACGGCCTGAACCTGCCAGGCCGTCCCGGGGCCAGTGCTGGTGCTCATGCTGGTGTCAGCGTTGCTGTTGGTGATGGTGCCGGTGTGGGTGTCAGGGCCGGGGCCCCGCGGTGCCGATCGCGCCTCCCCGAGACGCTCCCGCCAGCGGGAACCGACGTCACGGGGGCTGTGGGCGGGGCCCCGCCCCGCCGGC